AAAAAAGGTGCCCACAACCAAGGTCCTAGAATTTCTGTCCATATTACCCTTCTGTAGCCACCTCCCACCAAACTCCAGCCTATAATTACACCATAAAGATGCCTCGATCGAGGACATCTATCAAGGAGAAAAGAATTACAGAAGAAAAGGAGGAAGGCGAGGAGGGTAGTGAGGTCAAACGGAAAACCCACGTAGGCTCCGAAGGTTGTACTTAGTGAATTAGAGCTTGAGAAGGAGTCTCCATCCTTAGTGCTCCTACATTCAGTTGGCTGCATTTTAGCCGAGCCCACAGTGAAGAAACAGAATCACACCTGGACACCGTACCTCGTGGTCCATCGAGCCCTTGCTTTCCTGGGATTCCAGGGAGACCCAGAAGTCCAGGGAGTCCAATTTCTCCATTTTCCCCAGAATTGCCTCTTTCTCCTGGAAAACCCGGCTTTCCCGGTTCTCCAGGTATGGCTGGCCCTGGTTCTCCCTGTAGTGTAGACATTGTCATATTAGTTGTAGTATATAACTTCCAACCCTCCCTGCTGACTGATCTATGAGGAGACTTCAAAAAATTCATGGAAAAAATGGAATAAAGAGATCATAGAATTTCCCCATGAACTGTCAAAAGAAGCTTATTATGATATAATTAGCATATCAAACAATTCAGTAGTTTAATTGTATTAAGAAGGGTTTTTGTACAATCATCACCACAATCAACTTTGGAACCTTTTCTACCTTCTTGTAACCATTGCTGTTGACTCTCCATTTCCCCCACCCTCTCCTCGGCTCCACCAGGTAATTATCAATCCAGTTACTGCCTTCAAAGCTCCACCCATCTTGACTACCCTATACACAGACACCTACAAAACAAAGAAAAAAAGGCCAAAAAGGACCCAGCAAGAATGCCCAAATAAAACAGGGAAAAATTCACTCGAAAAGAAAGCTGAAGCTATTAAAAAATTAGTATAAATTAAAGATAGGTCCAAGGGGGAGATCTACTGACAAGGTGTTACTCTCCAGCCTAACTCCAGCTGTGGCAATCCACTATACAGTGCTTTTTGTCAGATCATCAGGACAGTTACATCCCTAGATTGTGGTCAGTGAGGATTCATCGGACACTCAATCCGTGTGCATACCCTGAAAATGGATTTTCATGGTGTTCTGCAAACTGGGTGTTTGGAATTTAGTTCCTGGTACCGCTCCCTCCTTTAGGTTTGGACTTTATTAATTACCATCCTTGGATCATACAAGCTGGTGTGCTTCTTCCCTGTGGACTTGGCTCACTCCTCACTTGGATGGCCGCTCCAAGAGCGTTTTGAAGCCCCTCACATTTACTGGAAAATCCTATCTCAGTTATGGAGCTCTCAACCCATTTGGCCCAGCTACTGCCATTCCACACACTTTCCTTTTTCAAACTCAAGTTGCTGGGTTTTTCTAGAAGTCTGCCAGATAATGTTTCAGCCTCTGTTGCCCTCACTGTTTCCGAAGACTGGATTTGTCTATTAACTGAAAGCCAAGAGATCTTTACTTGTGACCACTATTCTCATAGGATCCACCATTCTCTCTCAACTTCTCTCACGTTAAAAACTCTGCCTCTGAGCTCATCAAGGGAGAAGTACTTCACATACCTCGTATATTCCTTTCAGAATTCCTTCCCGAGAGGGATGGTCCAGGGAAATGTAAAAACCCAACTCTTTTAGGAGTAAAGACATTCTTCATCGTCAACAAAAATAGCAATCATTTCTTTTCTTTTTTAAACAATCATTGCTACACCCCAGAGCATCCTGTCTGGTCTACAGCCACTGCCCTTCCCCGGCCCTCCTCTGAGTTTGAGTCCTCACAGACCTTGGCTCCGGGGAGGCCTGGTGCTCCTGGGGCTCCAGGCCTTCCCATTTCTCCAGGACACCCAGGGGCTCCTTTTCCCCCTGGAAAACCTCGGTTTCCTGTAGAGAAAACAGAGAGCAAAGGTTAGAGGATTCATCTTATTGACAGATTCTGGAGAGTAGATTTCATCTTTTACTTAAGGTTTGGGAGGCAAGCAGCTAGGGAAGTTTTCACAAAAGTCTGAATGACAAGAAAACCAACTGCTGAATGAGCAATTACACATAAGTTCCAAGTGAAAAGGTAGAATTAGAGAGAGATGTTGGTTGCACAATATTGTGAATGCTTTCAATGGCCCTGAGTCGTCCACTTGAAAATGCTGGACTATTCTAGGACAATCTGACTGTCCTAGTTTTAAAAAAAGTCACTCTGACAAGCAAGGTATGTGGGACTCAATCCGTGGTCTTTTCAATGGTCTTACATGCATCTAACAGTGGGCAGTGAATAAAGGCCAAAGAGGAACTGATGCCATTGAATGATGGCGTGTGGGTCATGTTGAAAGGTCGCGGATTGTCAGAAGAGCAAGCAAACCAGCCTCGGAGGAAGCACAGGCAGGTGGAAGCAAGGAGGGCGAGACGCGGTCTCCTGGGCTTTGCCCACATTATCAGGAGAGACCGAAGGAGGAGGACCCCAACAGGATGGATGGACACATTCACTGCCACAGTGGGGTCAGATACAAACACAATTTTGAAGACAAGCCCGCGTGTGGTTTTGTTCTGTCGGACAGAGGGTCCCTGTGTGTCGGAACTGCCAGGATGACACACCACAGAAACAACAACAACCCAAATCCACTCTAAGTCAGCTGACAGTGGCTCCAGAGGGGAGTCTAGCATGATTATATTCCCAATTCACACAGTCATACATGGAGACCAATATTCTCATGTTTGGGCAGAATTGACATGCCATCATCATTGCTGAGATTTTAATGCAAGTGATGAAACATCAAAACCTAGATTCTATCTTGACAAATATGTTAAGTCACATAGAAAGGAACATGACATTGTCACAGATTTTCTGTTGTGCAAGACAGAGGTGGAGGTCACTGGTGTGGCCTTCTGGACAGGAATTTGCTCTGCTCGTCTGTGTATAGCCCCAGGTTACTGTCTGGAGTTCTCAGCATCCAGATTTTTTGACAGGGTTGCCCCTTAGGTGACAAAAATATTTTTTTTTCTAAAGGAAATGACTCCTGTGATTTATTGTAGAGGACATAGATAAATCAGCTACTTGTGATTTGAACGATTCCATTCTTTTCTGATCCACCACCTACCCATCAGTTGGCCATTCAGTGGTGGCTTGCATGGTGCTGCGATGCTCTTTGTTGGCTTGTTTTTCCAGATAGGAGACCATTGTTTCAAATACCAGCAGGGTCAGTCATGGAAGGCAGATGGGCAGAGCCTCAAGACCATGAGTGACTAAGAAGTAAGGGTTGTCTATCTACTTCTGAAAATTAGCCAATGAAGACCTTCTGGACTGCAATAGAACATCCTTGAACTTGCTTGCTCTGGATACGCCATCAGAGGGATCAATGGTTAGAGGAGGGCATCATGTTTGATTAACTAGAAGGCCATGGAGGTAGACACCCTCAGTGAGATGGATTGGGACAATAGCCCCAAGGAAAGACTTCTTCATGCCACTTCTCGTGAGGATGACACAGGGTGGGGCAACATTTCATTTTGTTGGACATGGGTTGTCATGAGTGAGAGTCTATGGCAGCTCTCCATCCCTGCGTCCATCATCCTTGTCTATTTTCTGGATTAGCAAAGGCACGACTACAGTGAAGAACTATCTCAATATAGAAGATGCCACAAGATGTAAAAGAAAATGGTCCCCATGATCTCAATCAAGACGAAATCACTGCTGCCATTTACATGAATTTCTTTCCAGTATCTTTCCCATGCATTAAAAAAAAATACAACTGAGATGACATAGATATAAAAAACTGCTGAATTCTGCCTTTTTGCTCAACAATATTGTGAGACTTTCCCACTTGAGACTTTTGGATGCTATCCCAAAGGTGCTGTGGCTGTTTCCCCAAAGTCTTGAGTGTATGTATACTTTTACTTTTGTTTATAATTATATTTTCTACATGTCCACAATGAACCTTATATATATTTTTTAAATTACCCTTAGGTCCAGGAGGCCCAGGAAATCCAATTCCTGGAATTCCTGGTTCACCGTCAAGCCCAGGGAGACCTGGATCACATTTTCCCATGGGTCCTGGGACTCCTTAAAAACACAAACACATCGATATCAGTATTTGTTTCTTTCACATTGCCTTTAAACAAAATGTCTCATCCTCTCTGTCATCCCATTTGACCTATAGATTAAGAAAACTCATAGTATACCCCCAATCATATACACCACTGTTCTCCACCCCTGGGCAATGAACAGATCATTTTGAAAATACAATTTCATTCCTAAAAAGAGATATTCTAGGTAACCCTCTTGGTTGAAAACTTAAGTGTGAGGTTATACTGGCAAAGAAATTAAATTTGCTCATGAAGGAGTGGTGGGAAGCTCCTAATTAAGCACTGGGATAGATTACTTGCTCCCTGACCAAAAATCCATGAAGACCTTTGGCTTGAGAATTCTTCTGAAGTATTCATATTAATTATCCTTTGGAATCAGAAGCACTAAGGAGGGATGCCGTATTTTCCCACCCCAAATTGTGCACGTAATATGGTTTCTGCAAACGATGCAGCTCCTTGTGCATTCATCGCCTTTAAGCACCATGCATCTTATATGAACGGCAGGCTGTTCACCCTGATGTGTTAAGATGGGAAGAGTATGGTGATCAGGATAACCTCACAGCACATCCAGCAGGTCCTTCCTTACCTGCTACGACTCTCGCCTGGGCTCTCGTTTTGAGGCCACATGAACATAGTTTTGTCAAGACAGCACGGGTGTCATCTGATACCATGCACCACATCTGGCATAGCGGTACTCACCAGGTGGACCCCGGGGGCCAGATCGGCCAGGGGGCCCTGGAGGTCCTGGGGGTCCTGGGACTGGTCTTGCAACACTGGGTTCTCCTTTAGGACCTTAAGAAAAAGTGTGATCATAGGATGTGATGCACATATTGTCACTTTTCCCACTCTTAGGGTGCACTCTGATGATGACAGGTTTATGAAAAAGCTCTGAGAAAAATGTCAGTCTCTGTTTCCCCTAGGTTTGTGAACCAGCTGCCTGATGATCAGCCCATTGAGATGTTGTCAATCAACAAATGGTGGCAGCATGCCCCACTCTGATAGACTGGTTTTAATTAAGGGCCCCAAATGCTGATGTGTTACAAGATCCTGTTCCCCCAAATAGATTTTCTCTAATACATTCGACATGTTCTCTCCCACTGCCTATGAGTTGACTCATTCTATTGATTTGAAGCAAGTTGCTGCATCTTCACGCATCTCCACGGAGCTGTGCTCCCTCTGAGACTGTCATCCACGCCAAAGGAAAACAGGAATGGCCAGAAAACTAACCAACCGACTTCTCCGGGTGGTCCACGGGCTCCAGGAACTCCTTGCTCTCCCTTTGAACCTCGCATTCCTTGGGGTCCAGAGTCGGGTGGTCCAGCTGATCCTGTGGGTCCTGGGGGCCCAGGAGTGCCAGGATCTCCTGGAGGACCTTGTTCCCCCTTCTCACCACTCAGGGCCTGTGACAATAGGAACATGTCTGGATATGGATTCATGCCAACATCTCCTACAGGTCATTGCCATGAGATGAATCATGTTAGGCCTTCACTGAATAGATAAACACAAACAACCCCCAAGAAACAAACAAACATTGTGGTCTAGTTGGTCTCAGCTCATAGTCCAGTTGATTCTGACTCATAGTGACCCTGTAACAGCACCACAGGGTTTTCGAAGCTGTAATCTTTACAGACCCAAATGGCCACATCTTTTGTCCATGGAATTGCTGGGGAGTGTGCAATGCCGAGTCTTTCACCACGGCATCACCAGGGCTCTGTGCCAAGTAGGTCCTTTGGCATTCCTTGGGAATCTTTACTAGCATAATGCAGTTATTGGGTTAAGAAGGGGGACACGAACTGAAAGGTTGGTGGTTCGAATCCACAGAGCCTCTCAGAAGAAAAATATGGGGAACTACTTCTGAAAGCCACCCAAGCAAAACTCCAAGCTTCTGAGTTCATGTGGACTCAGCAACCTTTGGGGCGGAGTGGACCCACTCCCTAGGATTCCCGATCTTTACAGGAAACAGAAGCCTCCTCTTTTTCCCACAGAGCAGCTGGCGGGTTCACCACGGAGCAGCAGTAGGCCTTGCAGTCAGCAGCCGAGTGTATAACCTGCCAAGGCTCCTTCTGCCGGTCACAGTCGCTGCAAACGCCACAGCCACTGAACACTGTAAGGCGCCCAGGTCTCTCCAGACACACATGAGTTTGCCAGCAAACGGATTCGTGGCTGCTGTGGTTTTTGAGTGACAGACACAGGCACTAAGCTATTTCTGCTGTCCGGTGCCTTTTGCAACTCTGCAACCTGCCATGAAGTTGGGGCTGGCCCCGGCTCCACTTGAGATGTCCTGCAATGAAAAGCCACCCCTATGGTCAAAGCAAATCCGGCCGCAGAAGCAAGCTCCATGTGTGTTAAAGAGCAGAAGCAAGCTCCACGGAGCTGTTATGGCTGTCATCTTTAGGGAAGTTCATTGCGAGGCCTTTCTTCTGGGATGCGGCTCGTTGGGGTTGAGCGAATGACCTTTCAATTAGTCTCACTCACTTTCATCGGGTAGGATCCGACTCATAGTGACCCTATAATAGGTGGATTGCTTCACCTAGTGACCTGCACCCGTATGATAATGGCGCCTAAGATGAAGTCCAAATTGGCCAGCAGTTCAACTCCCACTAGAGGTGACGAGTCGAGATTATGACTCATAGCGACTGTATGTACTGCCCAGTCCTGGGAAGAAACCTTGAATTCCACAATTGGTCTTTTGTCTGAACCTATTGTTTCAGCCACTGTGTCAATCCATCTTTTCCAGTGCCTTCCTCTTTCCCCCTGGCCCTCCACTTTACCAAACACAATGTCCTCTAGGGCCTGGCCTCTCCTGAAGAGGTGATAATCCATTAGATCTGATGGTCCATGCTAAATGGTCCCTTTTCAAGAATAAAACCAGTGCAGCAAACTTTTGTTTGTGTGGTCATCACCATGTATTTTCATTATGAAGGGGTCAACTATCTGCAGTGTCTTCTTCTCATAAGGTATCTACTGAGCTTTGAATTGTGTAGATTGCAGGGTATATTTGAGAGATTAGATTTGACAAAGAATTGAAGTCTCTCGCCTTTCCTAGCTGGGCACCAGGCACCCCATTTCGTGATTGCTCACAGTAAGAGAGCACTTCTATCTGTCTGATGACAGGATGTTAGCAGCCCAGTGGTTAACCTGCTGTACCACCAGGTCCCTTTCATGAGAGGACACAAAGCTCCACAAGTCACCTCCCCAATTCCCCCCCACCCCCCACTCACCTTCCGAAACATCTTTACCAGAATTAATAGAGAAGTGAGTCCGATGGAGGGGCCACAGGAGAGTAGCTCTTGGGTAGGAAATCATTTATGCCCCGAATTCAGGTAACTGCATTACAGGGAGTGTCAGCCGAACAAGGGGGCTAACTACTCACCGGGTGGCCTTTAGGTCCTGAGGATCCTTTCACTCCGGCGGCTCCTGGGGTTCCATCCAGACCCTTCCTTCCCGGTTGGCCTCTGACCCCAGGATCTCCTGGAGCTCCCACCTGTCCCACTGGCAGAGCCTGTTCGCCTTTTTGTCCTTTAAGCCCTGGGTCACCCTGAGCTCCTGGGAGCCCCTGGAGGAGGAGAGAGATGAGCCTGCACTGCTTTGGGGTCAGTTGCATCTTGACTCAATCCTACAGCAAGGGCCACAGAACCTTATCAAGCTCATGAACATGGACTGGTTCGGGGGACAATGTCTTAGCCCACCAATACAGCTTTAAAGTTTTCAAGAAAGGATTCCGTTAGGATCTGGGAAACATCTCAGGCCATGGATGGACATTATGCTGAGTGACGTTTGACCATCACCAAATTGTTATTAAAAAAAAAATCAAGGAAAGGTTTTCCTATCCCAAGCAGCAGACTTTGATGGTTACCAGGGTGGGAGCAGAAGTGTGTGGGGTTGGGTGGGTGGGTGGGGGGATGGGGCAGTAATGGGGTAGAGGGCAGACAGGTGTACACTTGGGAAGAAAGTGTGAAACAGGCAAACCGTTGGAAGGTTTGATGAATTGTTGAATGCAAAAATGATGATCCTCTCTGTCAACCACTACCTAACTCACAACCAAAAAGCTTTTAAAAGAAGAAAAAGAAAAAGAAGCATTTTCTCAAATGATGGTGGTGGGGGGGGGTTCATTAGATAGCACAACTCAATAACCCCCAAACCCCAAACCTACTACTGGCAACAAGTTGGTTTGAAATCTAGTGATCCCAGAGTAGGACAGCCTCTGTGAATTTCTCAGCTTGTCACTCTTTTTACGGGAGTAGAAAGTCTCATTTTTCTCCTGCAGAACAGCTGGTAGTTTCAAACTGCTGACCTTGGGGTTAGCAGCCCAACTCATAGTCCACTAAGCCACCAGGTCTCCTTGGTGTAATAAATACAATAATATAATTCAATATGCAATAACAACCATCATAGTTCAGATTATGTTGTTTCTGGCTTTCAGATTCATGACCATAATCAGATCTTTCCCATCCCTTTCTCCCTAGTCCATTTTGTTTAAAGCTTTACTGAGGTAGATTACATTTTCAGTCAATCAACAAAGACCACACAGTCCAAGGCTAACCCGTTTTGATCAGCCCTCCCTCCAGATTCCCTTAGGCCCATTTACAGTCATCTGTATGCCTGCCCTTGGGCTCAGGTAACCACTGAACTATTTCCTGTCTTTGGTAGATTTTAAAGGTCTACAAATACATTGATTCACTCATTTGTTCATTTGCACACTTAGGCATCTAATCACCAGAGATGTATAAAGCATCTGATCTTTGCCCAGCTCTGAATGGACAACCCCTCTGAGAGGCAACCATATTTCCAGAGGGCTCAATTTCCCAAACCAAAATGAAAGCTTCACACCCACAGAAATCTTACTGGCAATCCTGGGAGACCCGGACTTCCTGGGGACCCCGAGCTTCCTTTTGAACCAGCTTCACCTTGTTCCCCTGCAAAGCAATGAATCATTCGACACTTAGAGTCTCTCAACTCAGAGTAGAGAGGTGATGCAGGCCATGAAGAAAATAAGGTGTTCTCAGAGTTAAAAAACTTTTTAAAAGATACGTTCTTTCCTAAAACACACAGTTCATGAAGGTAATGGAAGTAAATAGCTGGAATAAGACTTACTGTAAAAACAGACAAACAAACCAAGCAACTCAACAAAACCTTTCAAGGCTGGCCTTTCTAGAATTCTCATTTTTATCATTTTCAAAGATACGACTATTTTCTTCCCATGATAAAATATATACTCACTGTAAGAAGACAATATGCTGTAAGCTACTACCAGAAGATAATAATTTGCTAACAATTTAATGCACCTGCCTTGACTTTTTCTAGCCCTAAATGCGTGGGTGCTCGTGTAATACTTTAGAATCATACTCTCCACGGACCAAATACGGAGCAAGTTGTTGTTGTTCGGGGTCTTCCGGTTGGTTCTGACTCCCAGGGACTCAATGCACAACAGAACTCAACTCTGCCCGGTTCTGCACCATCCTTACGGTTGTTATTCTGTTTGGGGCCATTGTTGCAACCACTCCATCAATCCATCTCGTTGGATGTATTGTGAGGAAGAGTTCAGTTCCAGGTCTGAAGGATGTCTATGGGCCAGAGTCTCAGAGGACTGAGGAGAGAGGGAAGCAGAGGAGAGAGGGAAGGTGCCGCATGCCCGGTCTGGTACTTCACTCCTTACATTACCTGCTGGTCCTCCTAGGCATCTGCCTTACAGTTCCCAGCACACTGATTTACTAGAGTTCAGCAAATAAAACAGAAGAGGGGAAAATGCCCATTTCTATGTGATTGTGTCTCTATTGTGTTAATAGCCATGTGTTTCTGTGAGTTTTTAAAAAAAGTAATTTTATCGAGGGCTGTTATAGTTCTGATCACAATCCATACAGTGGCACATTTGTTGCCATCATCATTTTCAAGGCATTTTCTTTCTACTTGAGCCCTTGATATCAGCTCCTCATTTCCCCCCTCCCTTCTCTCCCTCCCTCATAAACCCTTGACACATTATAAATTATTATTATTTTCATATCTTACATCATCCGCTGTCTCCCTTCACCCACTTTTATGTTGTTCATCCTCCTGGGGGGGGAGGTGTTATATGTTGATCATTGTGATCTCTTCTCCCATCCTCCCCCCACCTTCCTCTTCCCCTTTCCCTCCTTGTATCTCTATTCTCATTATTGGTCCTGAGAGGTTTATCTGTCCTGGATTCCCTGTTTTGCGAGTTCTTATCTGTAGCAGTCCATATGCTCTAGTTTAGTCAGATTTATAAGGTAGAATTGGGGTCATGATAGTAGTGGGGAGGAAGCATTAAAGAACTGGAGGAAAGTTGCATGTTTCATCGGTGCTATATTGCACCCTGAATTGCTCATCTCTTCCTTGTGACCCTTCTGTAAGGGAATGTCCTATTGTCTACAGAAGAGCTTTGGGTCTCCACTCCACGTCCTCCACTCCCCCATTCACATTGATATGATTTTTTGTTCTTTGTCTTTGATGTCTGATATGTGATCTCATCAAAACCTCATGATCACACAGGCTGGTGTGCTTCTTTCATGTGGGCTGTGCTGCTTCTCAGCTAGATGGCCGCATGTTTAGCTTCAAGCCTTTAAGACCCCAGATGCTCTATCTTTTGATAGCTGGGCACCATCAGCTTTCTTCACCACATTTGCTTATGCACCCATTTTTGTCTTCAGTGATCATGCTGGGAAGGTGAGCATCACAGAATGCCGGATTATTAGAACAAAGTGTTCTTGCATTGAGGAAGTACTTGAGTTGAGGCTCAATGTCCATCTGCTATCTTAATACTTAACATATAAATAAATATAAGTACATAGATCTATTTCCCTATCATTATATAAAAATATATTTACATATGTATATGTCTGTATTTAGACCTCTATAAATGTCCTATGCCTCCTACTTCTTTCTTTTATTTCCTTTTACTTTCCTCTGTCCCATGATCATGATCGACCTTCATTCAGGTTTCAGTAATTCCTTATCGTTACATTGCCCTCGATTAAGCCCATTTGGCATCCTACGCCCTACACTCCAACGGTTTTAGTTCACTTGTTGTTCCCTTGTCCTGGTTTGGTTCACATCCTCCTTCCTTTCTCCCACCTCCCCTTCTCATGTGTCCCCCCGGAACCTTCAGTCCCATTGCTTTCTCCTCTGAATTGTTTATTCCGCCTATCTCGAGAGACATGCAGAGACAATAATAAGCACAAAAACAAGGCAAAGCCAAACAAAACAAACAAACAAAACAAAATAACAACAAAAAGAAGGCCAACGACAAAAAAGGAAAAGCCTATAAATAGGCTTTTTGACCTTTAGGATTCTTTTCTGGTTGAGTCTGATAGGGTGCTACACTCTGTCCCCAAAGTCTATTTTTGGTATTTCCCAGGGACTTCATTGCTTTGCTCCCCTTGCTGCTCTGTTGCACGCCCTTAGAGTTTCACCCCAGTGTGATGGGATCAGGTTGGGCACAATTCCCACATTGTGTCTCCAGTGTTGTCCCCCATAGCACTATGGTTCAGTGAGGGGCATCTTATCTTGTGGTGGGGCCGGCCCTAAGGTCCTCTCTGTGCATTGGCTGCTCTGAGCGGGTATATCGTCCTTGAGGCTTGGTGGGCCAAGATGTGTTTCACTCACTCTCTTTGCCTCTTCACTTGCTCCTGTGTGCTCTGATCACACGTGTCCCTTTCCCCCAGCTGTAGCTTCAGTGCTGTCTTCAGAAGTCCACTCGTCTGAGGGTGTGGGTGTGAGTTCTTAAAGGACTTTTAAAATCCTTTCACTACATGTATGGCATCACAACTGATCATGACATCCAGCAATCTAATACCTTCTTATCCCCTTAGAAGCCGGGATGATGAGACTTCATCTACATACTTTGGACATGTATTAGGAGACACCAGGACCTGGAAAAGGACTTCATGCTTGGAAGAGGAGAGATCAGTGAGGAAAGAGGGAGAACCTTAGTGAGATGGACTGACTCAGTGGCTACAATGGGCTCAAAACTCATAACAACTGGGAGATGGCACCGGACCAGGCAGTGTCCTATTCTGTTTCACGCTGGTCACTCAGAGTGGGAACCGATGGGCTCCTCACAACCACAGTAACAACAACACCTCTTGATGAGTGAATCCTTGTGGGTCTTGATGAGCTGGAGTCAGCTCCAAGATCACAGGTTGCGATTTTTAAATTTGTGGTGTGCATGTCTATACCTGGAATTCCTTTGACACCATGGGGCCCTGGCAATCCTGGGAGACCTGGAGGCCCTGGGATACAGGGACACTGTGTGCACAGGAGGCCCGGCTCTCCTGCAACAAGACCAGATTTGTGTTACCCACAATGCTCACCATGTATCCATAAGGCCAGGTCTTTTCCAACCATACATTTGCTACATTTAAAGATTGCATTGATTAAGAAATGTGATTTTTAAAAATGTATCAAAGCACATCTAGGATATTATATATATTGATAAAATGATGCATCACAATACCTATTGAATTATCTATGATATCTACTTCTTTATTAATTTGAGCTGGACAGTCCTTCTGAGAGAAGGGGTACCAAGAGTCTAACACAAAATACCGAATATTTCAGCTTTCTCTGTTTGAGTCTCAGATAAATCCTATTGTTTAGAGGCATCCACTAATATATTGTATGTGTGCTAAATAAATGATGGGCTCACAATTAAGCAACTACTTTTAGCCAATTTTTTGGTAAAAGAAACATCAACCACTGTTTTGGGATTGTTGTTGTCTTAGAGAAAATAATAAGGGAATATGAAAAGCGCTTTTTCTAGTGGATTGTTTCAGAGATAAAACCAACCTTTGGGTCCATCCCGTCCTGGGAGCCCTGGAGGCCCAAGCGGGCCTGGAATTCCACGTTCTCCAGGAGGACCATGGCAGAAAACAATGTTACCTACAGAAAGAGAACACCCAAGCCGGTTGTTTGTGCTTGTCTTAATTAGCTAGTAAGCTGTTGGCATTTAAAATTTTTGGAAGTGTTTTTGGTTTTAAAATCATTTTATTGGGGGCTCTTACAGCTCTTATCACAATCCATCCATTGTGTCAAGCATATTTGTACATATGTTGCCATCATCATTTTCAAAACATTTTCTTCCTACTTGAGCCTTTGGTATCAGCTCATTTCCCCTTCCCCCACCCTCTCTTCCTCATGAACCCTTAATAATTTATAAAACATTTTTTTCATATCTCACACTGTTGTCTCCCTTCACCCACTTTTCTGTTGTCCACTCCCCTGGGAGGGGGCTATATGTCAATCATTGTGATTGGCTCCCCCTTCCTACCCCTACCCCTTACCCTCCCAGTATTGCTACTCTCATTATTTCTTCTGAGGGGTTGATGTGTCCTGGATTGCCTGTGTTTCCAGCTCTTCTCTGTACCAGTGTACATGCTCTGGTCTAGCCGGAGTGTTTTAATGCACGCATGATTTATATGGATTTCTCCATGCTTTTCCTGGAAGTTGGGCTTTCTGAAGCGTGTCTGTATCTGAAAAGACTGATTATGGGCCAGCTCTTCCCTTCATGTTCTCTAGAGGGGATGCTTTTGACATTGCTGGTTGTTCTCAAGGGGCCTGCTGAAGGGGTGTGATGTTTTGGGCTGCTAACTTCAGGTTGGTAGTTCAAACCCACCAGCTCCTCCAAGATGAAGCTTTCGGCTCCCGTCAAGGTTTACAGCCCCAGAAACCCACACAGGCAGTTCTGCTTTGTCCTATAGGGCGGCTGAGGCTGAGTGACTGGAGGGCAGTGAGGTTTTATGTGGTTGCTCTTCAAAAGCTCATTACCATCTTTTCAAATATGGTGTGCCCATGTAAGCAACACCGTCACGCATATAACACACACAGGAAACCAAGGGTGAGAGGGTGTCCTGGTTTGCAATTCCTGGCTTGCAAAAACCATATTAAACAAACAAAAAACCATACTCGCTGCCATTGAGTCAACTCGGACTCATAGTGACCCATAGTATTACGTGTGTGTTATTTGCATGAAGAATACAGTGCATGTTATTTCTCTTCCCATAAGTCATCCATCCTCTTAGCTACACACTGGGTATAAAACAGGAAACACAACACGCTCTCTAATCTCTGAGAGCATTGCTTCTTGTCAGGGACACCAACAAACACAGAGGGCACACTGTGGAAAATGCTGTAGTCGGGACAGCACGGGCGTTACAGGATACGCGTGCCTCACACATTTTCTGAAGGACTTGGGCTTGAAACTCCAACGGAAGGGCATGTGGGCAATTGCCTAGAGAAGAGAGGGTCTGAAACAAGGCTTAAGGGCTGGTCCAAGCACCATCTGTCTCCAAGGTGAGAGGTACACGGAGCCTTCAGGGAGGGAACTGGTTGTCGTGTTAATTAGCTACATCACTCTGCAAAGCAGGCATGCCATTAATAACAGGGATGTCGATCGAACCTGAACTTTGGGAGTTTCTGGCTGGCACAAATCGTGGATGCACTCAGGTGCCAAATGAAAGACTGCTGGTTCAAGTCTATGCAGAGAAGCCTTGGAACAAGGATGCAGCAACCTATTTCTGAAAGATGGCAACCACTGAAAGCACTGTGGACATAGCTCTGATCTGACACACACTGGACTTGACTTGGTGGAAACTGGTTCAGAATTTGGTTTTCTTACCTGGGTCCTGAGACCAGCTCAAGTTACTGAACAAACAGTTGAGCAAAAGGACAACTTGATAACCACCACCCCCCACCTCCACTTTCCTACTTCACTCCCCATTTCCCCGCCTCCCTTTCTGCTTTCTGGGCCACTCAGGAGACAAATGTGTGGTTCTGGTGGGGTTCTTCTCCCTTCTAAGCATCACACACAGAGAGCATACGAAACCGAATACAACCAGAAAGAGGACTCAGAAACCACACAGACCCATGCCGAGCTCAAGGTCAGGTTCGGTGTCTCTGACTTGAACACATCTGTCATCAGACAATGGACACAAAAGAAGCTCAATGGGCACCTTTACCTGGTGGTCCTGAGGGCCCTGGCAGTCCTACAGGGCCTGGCGAGCCAGGACAACCTTGGGACCCAGGCGGCCCCACTGCATTTCTCCCCGGGGGTCCTGGCTCCCCTTTGCTTCCTTTTACACCCGGAGGTCCAGGGCTTCCTCTCAGGCCAGGCCTCGATGATCCTTGAAGAAAACCATCATTTTACTGATTAATACAAGGAGGCTTCTAATAGTTCATGGTAAAATTCTCTTTTCATTCCATTTTTCAGAGACTGCTTTGAAGCTCCCTCTTCTATATGATTTTTATTATATAAAGTGACATATTCTTATGCACAGACATTGCACAAGCTGGAGATAGGCACCTGAAGTCCATCAAATAAAATGTAATCGTGGCTTCCCCCATCGATGGCCTTGTTAAACTCAACCAGTCTATACAGCCAAGCTCAGCACACAATTTTCGATGAATTAGGGAAACATCTGAATTGTGTCCGGTTATTCGAACCTAACGGAGTACAGTGCATCTTCCTTGTGAACAGCACGTCTGTTTAGACCCTGAGAATTATGTCTGTACCTGGTGTTCCAGGGGGTCCAGGAGGGCCAGGGGGACCTGTGAAGACAACACTCTGATGAATGGCTCACGAAATACATGAATGCCCCCCTCCAGCCCCTATTTTGGAATGCTGGCTGGCCCTATATTAATAATGAATAACTATATTTCATACACTCCTACATAGGTGAACTATTACAAAACCTCACATCTGTCTAAAGCTAAAATGCAGAGAGTAGACATATCTCGGATGTCCGAACCTCAGAAGGCAGGCTTGCCCTCATGTCATTTTCAAATCCTTCAGCAGAGACCGACTCAAACCTGCTCTGAGCTCAGCATTTGCCGGAGGGTCAAGCAAAATAAACCCCGCCAGGAGCCGTGAAGGATGGCACGTTGGCCAAATGTCTGTCTAGGTCATTCTACACGTAGCATTCCACGTAGTTTTAATTTTTGCATGTGTAAGTGGCTTACAGTTAAGGGTTACACACGAAATAGTTTCTGTAAAAGCAAGTCAGAGGTTGTTTGTTTGTTTTCAGATTCAAAGATTTGCAAATTGGGAAGCACGAGAAGATGGAAGTTCAAAATGGCGGCAGGAAGAGAGGGCTGGCGGACACATGTTTTATCAGGACTTTGCGCAGGGCTGGGAGGGAGGACGGGGTCCATCTGATTGGCTGACATTCAGCATCTCCATAAGACTCATTTGCTAAGATCAGCTATTGACTTGGCTACTCAACTGTAGCCACGGTGTCCTGCGTTCTGGAACTGATCACCGAAGCAGTCCGTGTGGGCCACCTCAGACCCAGAATGCTGCAGAACAAGTGACGGTGGTCAAGACTGTCGCCTTGGCTCTGTCCTCTAAAAAGCAGAAGTAGGGGCCTAGGATGGAGTCTCATCTCAACCTGTGCCGGGCATTTCAGCTATGACAAATGCTTCAGTGCTCGAGTACTCTTTCACTTACTTAGAGCAGCTTTTAAGACATCCTGGTGGCACAGAAGGTGAGCACTAGGTTGCTAACCACAACCCACCAGTTGCTCGTGGGAGGAGATCATGATAGTCTGCCTCTGAATGAGATAGAGTTTTGAAAATGACAGGGCACTTCTATGGAGGTTTGTGACAAGCCAGCATTCTCTAAATGGGCAGTGGGACCAATTGGTATAGATTTTTAAAAGATACAGATCTTTAAAATCCACTGTGGGTTAGGCATGGGCTGCTTACCTCAATGTAGTGGTTCAAACCCACCAGCCACTCCATGGAAGAAAGATGAAACTATTGTCTCCCACAAAGATTCACTGTTTTAAAAACTCTTTATAGCATTATTGAGCTAGAATTGACTTGATGGCAAGGAGGGTTTTCCCCGTCTCTACTTACCAGTTCATTTATTTAAGTAAACTAAGAATTTTTACACTTTTAAGTAAAATTCTCCTTCAAAATCTTGTTTGTATCAATAATTTGCCTAGATCTCAGGTCTCAATCCTCATGACATAATAAAATAATGTTGAGAATTATGTATATATGTATATATATTTACACCAGTGGTATAAATATATATGTGTATATACCTATATATATATATAGGTATATACACACACTCACAAAATGGATATACAGTGAACCCTCGCCACTTCGCGCTTCGACTTCCGTGGCTTCACTCTATTGCGGTTTTTGTGTAACAGTGCATGCTCTGTCATTATTGCCACTGATTGGCTCATACTGTACACGCTTGATGCCATAAATAATATAATAAATAATAAATGATAATTGTAATGTCCAAAATGTTTTACTGTATTTTCCCTTTTTCGTTTAATAAATTGGGTAATAGGAGTGTAATGGTGACTAAAGGGTGTTTTT